GATAGATAGATAGCTATAATAGATATATACATAGATAGATACAGAGTGATAGATTTGGAAGAGATTCTCATGACCCATCTAGTCCAACTCCCTTTATTCTGCCAGGCAGGAAGACACCATCAAAGCCCTCCTGACGGATAACCATCCAGCCACGGATCAGATAAATAGATATAATAGATAGATACATAGATAGATACAGAGTCATAGATTTGGAAGAGACTCTCATGGCCCATCCAGTCCAACTCCCTGCCTTCTGTGAGGCAGGAAGACACCATCAAAGCCCTCCCGACAGATGACCATCCAGCCACAGATCAGATATAGATAGGTAAGATATAATAGATATCTTATTATATCTAGAGTCATAAGTTTGGAAGACTCTCATGGCCCATCCAGTGCAACTCCCTTCTTTCTGCCAGGTAGGAAGACACCATCAAAGCCCTCCCGACAGATGACCACGCAGCCACGGATCAGATCTAGATAAATAGATATAATAGATATATACATAGACAGATACAGAGTGATAGATTTGGAAGAGACTCTCATGGGCCATCCAGTCCAACACCCTTATTATGCCAGGCAGGAAGACACTACCAAAGCCCTCCCGACAGATGACCATGCAGCCACAGATCAGATATAGATAGATAACAGATATATACATAGATAGAGACAGAGTCGTAGATTTGGGAGGGACTCTCATGGCCTATCCAGTCCAACTCCCTTCTTTCTGTCAGGCAGGAAGACACCATCAAAGCTCTCCTGACAGATGACCATCCAGCCATAGATTGGATCTAAATAGATAGGTAACATAGATGTATACATAGATAGATCACAATCAGATTTGGAAGAGACCCTCATGGGCCATCCAGTCAAACACCCTTATTGTGCCAGGCAGGAAGACACTACCAAAGCCCTCCCGACAGATGGCCATCCAGCCATAGATCAAATATAGGTAGGTAGATATAGATTTGGAAGATAACCTCAAAGGTCACTCAGTCCAACCCTCTTATTATGCCAGACAGGAAGGCACCAACAAAGCCCTCCTGACAGATGGCCATGTATAGGTAGATAGAATAGATACATACATGCATACATACAGAGTCATCGATTTGGAAGAGAACCCCAAAGGTCATCCAGTCTAACCCCCTTCTGCCAGGCAGAAAGACACCATCAAAGCCCTTCCGACAGATGGCCATCCAGCCATAGATCAAATATAGATAGATAGAGAGTCATAGAGTTGGGCCATCTAGTCCAACCCCCTTTTTCCATGCAGGGAAAAGCAGCATCAAAGCCACCCAGCCTCTGTTTCAAAGCCTCCAAAGAAAGAGCCTCCACTGCAGGGAGTTCCACTGCTGAACAGCTCTTCTTACAGTCAGGAATAATAATAATAATAATAATAATAATAATAATAATAATAATAATAATAATAATCTTTGTTTATACCCCGCCACCATCTCACCAAAGGAGTGTTCCGGTGGAATCTCCTTTCCTGCCATTTGAATCCATTGCATCCCACTGTGATGTTTCCACAATCCCGTCCATTACTAAGGACTTAACCCTGTGCTTAACCAGGAAAGGCCCGTTTATGGCTAATGGCTTCCTGCAGGCGGCCAAGACAAGTGGAAGTTGTCCGCGGCTGCTGCTTCGGACGCCAACCGTTTGCAGATGGCCGGGCAGGAAAGGGGCAATTGCCACCAAATTAACCCCTTTGGAGATTGTCATCAAGACGTAGAGGAAGGTCAGTGGGGTGGAAACAGGGGAGCCCTCTGGGCAGCTAAACCTGGAAATCCCAACTGGATTCCCCCCTCCCCCCCCCCCCCCCCCCCTCCGCCACCCCGTTTCGCACCTCCGCCGCGGATCTTCCCGCTTCCCGCTCCCCTCCCCGCCAAGTGCCCTTTCCATCTGCAAATGTCATCTGCCACTCGGTCTGTCTTGAGGCGCGACATGGTACATTATACATGTTTTGGCCGGGTATTCATGCATAAATCAAAAACCACTGGCACGATATTGACACCCACAAATTTGGACACCAGACACCTCTCAGGCCAATGAGTGACCATCACTCAAAAAACACTGAAAAACACAGCAGAAGAGACTTAAAAGCCTATATATATATATATTACAATGCATGAGCAAGACCACATCTATACACAAATATATACACACACATCCACAAAACACATATACACAGACTGGGCCACAGCAACGCATGGCAGGGGACGGCTAGTATATATATAGTTATATAAACCCTGTCCATTCTTATGCTGCATTTGTGCAAATGCCCTCATTATATATGCACGCCAGTATCCAACAGCAGCCCATTCCTTCTCATGTATTTGGGGAAAATATTCCATATATATATATAGAGAGAGAGAGAGAGAGAGAGAGCTCTTGGCAGCACAATGGGTTAAACTGCTGAGCTGCTGAACTTGCTGACCAAAAGACTGGTGGTTTGAATCCAGGGATCGGGGTGAGCTCCTGCTGTTAGCCCCAGCTCCTGCCAACCCAGCAGTTTGAAAACACGCAAAATGTGAGAAGATCAACAAGTACCGCTCTAGCAGGAAGGTAATGGCACTCCATGCAGTCATGCCAGTCACATGACCTTGGAGGCGTCTGTGGACAACACCTGCTCTTCGGGTTAGAAATGGAGATGAGCACCGCCTACAGAGTCGGAACAGAACTGGATGTAATTTCAGGGGAAATCTGATGTACATTACAATAATAATTATGTATACTGTTTTATATATATATATATATATATATATATATATATATATATATATATATAAATGTCATGTTCGTTTGTGGGATTAACAGAACTCAAAAACCACTGGACAAATTGACTCCAAATTTGGACACAAGACACCTAACAACCCCATGTATGTCCTTCACTCAAAAAACTTGATTTTGTCATTTGGGAGTTGTCGTTCCAGGGATTTATAGTTCACCTACAATGAAAGAGCATTCTGAATCCCACCAACGATGGAATTGAACCAAACTTGGCACACAGTTCTCCCACGACCAACAGAAAATACTGGAAGGGTTTGGTAGGCAGTGTCCTTTGGTTTTGGAGTTGTAGTTCACCTACATCTAGAAAGCACTGTGGACTCAAACAATGATGGATCTGAGCCAAACTCTACACGAATACTCAATATGCTCAAATGTGAACACTGGTGGAGTTTGGGGGAAATAGAATCTTGACATTTGGGAGTTGTCGTTGCTGGGATTTATAGTTCACCTACAATCACAGAGCATTCTGAACCCCACCAACGATAGAATTGGGCCAAACCTCCCACACAGAACACCCATGTGGGCCACAGCAACGCGTGGCAGGGGACGGCTAGTATGTGTGTGTGTGTGTGTGTGTGTGTGTGTGTGTATATATATATATATATATATATATATACAGAGAGAGAGAGAGAGAGAATTTTTATAATAATTATTATAAAATTATATATATCTATATATGTGTGTAAAAGTTAAAAATTAATTTTTTAAAAAAGATAACCTTTTCAAGCTTGACTCTGCTTTTGTAAATGGCTGAAGCTCAGTCGTTCTACTGCTAGCGCTAGAAGCTTCTGATCTGCTAAACTGCTGCTGTTGCGGCTCTGCTGTTTCTGAATGCTTTCCCCCTTTCCTGGAAATAACCGTTGTCCTTCTTATTCCAGGGGCCCTGGATCATATCATGGTCTCCACAAAGGATGGGAAGTTCCCCCTGAACCAGCTGGGACAGGTCTCCCTGAAGTCTCCCCAGCTCATCCTGGTCAACATGAGCAACTTCCCGGAGGTCAGTCAGTGTGATGCTGGGTTGGTCTCCAGTGCAGTGTTTCCCCATAAAACCATATCCGTATCAGAAGGGAAGAAACGAGAGAGAGGTGCTCTATCGCTGCCTGGCCAGCAGTATCGCAGGGAAAACATGACCAAATGTAGGATATCAGTTCATAGAATCCCAGAGTTGGAAAGTGTGTGTCTATGTCTCCAGAGACAATCCATAAATGAGTTAGCATGAGTCCAAGTTAGGCAACCTATGCCACACGTGAACTAGAAGCAAGAACAAACATAGAACTTGAATACATGAATTTCAAGAACATGGGACCAAAAACCGAGAGCTGTTCAGCTGAAGACAACATTAATGTCACAATTGTACCAGCAGGAACCACTTTAAAAAGCCTCATCCCTCCCATAACATCATTCCGCACGCACCTGCTTCTCCTCTCCTTATCTCTAAGCCTCTGGGAATAGCAAGTCTGTCTTTGTTGCACACCCTGTCTCTGCAATTCCAAGCGCCTTGACATAGACAAACATTTGTCTCCCACATTTCTCAGCCTGCACTTCTGACAGGTGCCTGTTAGGGATTCCTCATCTTCGGAAGAGGAAGAGGAGCAGGGAAGTGCTCAGTAATTGGAGGGAGAAGAAGAATCAGACGATGAGGGTTTGAAAGTGCTCACATTTCTAGAGAGACGAAAAAAACACAGACGGCTGCTAGGAATTGTGGGAGTTGAAGTCCAAAACACCTGGAGGGAGGGCCCAAGTTGGCCCGTGCCCACCCTAGATCGAAAAAGTCATACTCCCATGCTCCAATATGCTGATGATAACGTAGTCTGTGCACATTCAGAAGACAGTCAACATCTGTTATAGAACTCCAATATGCTGATACATGAATTGTGGGAGTTGAAGTCCAAAACACCTGGAGGGAGGGCCCAAGTTGGCCTGTGCCTGTGCCCAGCCTAGATTGAAAGAAGTCATAGTCCTGCACTCCAATATGCTGATGATAATGTACTCTGTGCACATTCAGAAGAAGACCTACAACATCTGTTATAGAAATCCAATATGCTAATGATAACGTAGTCTGGGCTCATTCAGAAGACCTACAACATCTGTTATAGAACTCCAATATGCTGATATATGAATTGTGGAAGTCCAAAACACCTGGAGGGAGGGCCCAAGTTGGCCTGTGCCCAGCCTAGATTGAAAGAAGTCATAGTCCCACGCTCCAATATGCAGATGATAATGTAGTCTGTGCACATTCAGAAGAAGACCTACAACATCTGTTATAGAACTCCAATATGCTAATGATAACATAGTCTGGGCTCATTCAGAAGACAGTCAACATCTGTTATAGAACTCCAATATGCTAATGATAACATAGTCTGGGCTCATTCAGAAGACTGACAACATATAGAACTCCAATATGCTAATGATAACGTAGTCTGGGCTCATTCAGAAGAACTACAACATCTGTTATAGAACTCCAGTATGCTGATATATGAATTGTGGAAGTCCAAATCACCTGGAGGGAGGGCGCAAGTTGGCCCATGCCTAGTCTAAAGCCGCCGTGCTCCTCTTGGCTCTCAAAACCACAACAAATTGGGCCAAATGCAGTTTGTGCAGCTTGAGTCAAAGATCTCTGTGCCTCTTCCTCTTTGCAGGGCTGGGGGTTTCGCCCACCGAAGGGGTCGAATGCCTCTTGGGTCAAACCCCCCCCCCCCGCCCGCCCCTGTTTTCTCTCCAACGGCGCTCCAGGCGTGGCCAACCGCGAAGCCCAGGCCTCCCGCTAATCCCTTTTCGGTTTGACACGTTTCCACGCCGCAATGTGGAATGAGTTAGGGAGACGTGGAATCAGATCCCGGAACATTTCATCCGGCGCTTGGCAAAGTCCAGAGTCCCGTCCCCGTCCCGGGGGGAATCCCCTCGCCGTCTGCGTTGCCTCAAAAGCGTCGGGATGGTTTCCATTTTCTTTGTGGCTTTCTCAATCCCTGTCCCCCCCATGCCGTGCTATCCCTCCGATGCCTTGAGAGAAGCCGCTCGCCCGTCGGGTTTGATCAAAGCGCCGCTCGCCGACGTCACGTCCTGATCCCGGCCGGCCACCGGACTTAAACGTTTCCATGTTCTGTCAAGGCACATTGCTCTCCGTCAATGGAGACGCCGCGCCTGGAAATAATTATTGGCTAATTCCCCCCGACTGTTTGATCTCCGCCTTCCTCTCTTTGCAGAGCACAGCTGCGGCCGTGAAGGCCATCCGGGAGAGTGGGATGGGACTCAATCCCGAAGCGGACGGGACACTCCTGCGCATCCCCGTCCCCAAGTAAGCCACGCCGGCATTTCTGCCAGGGTGGGGGCTGAGGATGATGAGGATGATGATGTGTGGCTCAAGTCGGCTAACAATCCCAAACTTTGGTCATAGTTTGAATAGCACAATACAAAATAATAATAATAATAATAATAATAATAATAATAAGAAGAAGAAGAAGAAGAAGAAGAAGAAGAAGAAGAAGAAGAAACACAACAAGATGAGTCCACAGCAGACAACACTGCTGGCTGTATTATTATTATTATTATTATTATTATTATTATTATTATTATTCACAACAAGATGAGTCCAAAGCAGACAAGATCACACCGCTGGCTGTATTATTATTATTATTATTATTATTATTATTATTATTATTATTCACAACAAGATGAGTCCAAAGCAGACAAGATCACACCGCTGGCTGTATTATTATTATTATTATTATTATTATTATTATTATTATTATTATTATTATTACAAGCCAGTCAAGGTGGTCCCAGTGGTGAATGGCACACTGGCTGAGGATGATGAGGATGAGGATGGTGTGTGGCTCAAGTCGGCTAACAATCCCAAACTTTGGTCATAGTTTGAAAAGCACAATACAAAATAATAATTAGAAACACAACAAGATGAGTCCACAGCAGACAAGATCACACTGCTGGCCGTATTATTATTATTATTATTATTATTATTATTACTATTTTTATTATTATTATTACAAGCCAATCAAGGTGGTCCCAGTGGTGAACGGCACACTGGCTGAGGATGGTGTACGGCTCAAGTCGGCCAATAATCCCAAACTTTGGTCATAGTTTGAAAAGCACAATACAAAATAATAATAATAATAATAATAATAATAATAATAATAATTAGAAACACAACAAGATGAGTCCACAGCAGACAAGATCACACTGCTGGCTGTATTATTATTATTATTATTATTATTATTGTTATTATTATTATTATTATTATTACAAGCCAATGAAGGTGGTCCCAGTGGTGAACGGCACACTGGCTGAGGATGATGAGGATGAGGATGGTGTGTGGCTCAAGTCGGCTAACAATCCCAAACTTGGTCATAGTTTGAAAAGCACAATACAAAATAATAATTAGAAACACAACAAGATGAGTCCACAGCAGACAAGATCACACTGCTGGCCGTATTATTATTATTATTATTATTATTATTATTATTATTATTATTATTATTACTATTTTTATTATTATTATTACAAGCCAATGAAGGTGGTCCCAGTGGTGAACGGCACACTGGCTGAGGATGGTGTACGGCTCAAGTCGGCCAATAATCCCAAACTTTGGTCATAGTTTGAAAAGCACAATACAAAATAATAATAATAATAATAATAATAATAATAATAATAATAATAATTAGAAACACAACAAGATGAGTCCACAGCAGACAAGATCACACTGCTGGCCGTATTATTATTATTATTATTATTTTTATTATTATTATTACAAGCCAATCAAGGTGGTCCCAGTGGTGAACGGCACACTGGCTGAGGATGATGAGGATGGTGTGCAGCTCAAGTCGGCTAACAATCCCAAACTTTGGTCATGGTTTCAAAAGCACAATATAAAATAATAATAAATAATAATTAGAAACACAACAAGATGAGTCCACAGCAGACAAGATCACTCCGCTGCCTGTTGTATTATTATTACTATTATTATTATTATTATATAATAATAATAATTCTGACGTGTCTACATAAAGTGCGTCATGGAGGGAGAAAAAGTGCTGAGGTAAGGCAGGTTAAAAGGACCACTTCAGTGCAAATGAGCTACCTGTGGCCGCCTGTGTTGCCTGATTACACGCCCTGACGCCTTGACGCCTGTGTTGCTTGTCAACTGACTGTGCTGCGCAATCCGTTGTGCGGACTGACTGTGTTGACCGATTGTGTGTTGTACGTTATATGGACTAACTGTGTTGACCGACCATTCCTCTGCCTTGGGGCATTATCATCCTGTGTGCAACGTGTGTCGAATCTCTGCCATCCATGTGACGCCTACCATCGCGTCCACTGTTCCACCTCCAGAAGGACTACCGTATATTCCGGCATATAAGGCGACTGGGAGTATAAGACGACCCCCAACTTTTCCAGTTAAAATATAGAGTTAAGACGGCTCCCATGCATAAGACTACACCCGCGTATAAGACGACCCCTGACTTTTGAGAAGATTTTCTTGGGTTAAAAAGTAGTCTTATACGCCAGAATATACTGTAGGTTAAAGTGGTCATTGTATTATAATTATATGCTATAATTAATTTTTATCAACGATTTGAACGGTGCTGTTATTTCTAGCTCGGCACTTTAATTTACCAATCACTTATAATTATATGTTACAATAATTCTTATCAACATTGAACGGTGCTGCTAAATTTCAATCCTAGCACTTTAGCTGCCAGCACTTTAGCTCATTTGCACTGAAGTGGTCCTTTTAACCTGCCTTACCTCAGCACTTTTTCTCCCTCCATGACGCACTTTATGTAGACATGTCAGAATCAAGTGTTATGCCTATTGCACTTTAACAAGTGTTATGCCTATTGCACTTTAACAACTTTCTATATCTGTGTTATGCCTATTGCACTTTAACAACAAGTGTTATGCCTATTGCACTTTAACAACTTTTTATTATCTGTATAGTTGATATAATTTTGTGTGCACTTTAAGAACGAGGGATAAGCGGATTGACAGTGTTTTATTGTGAATTTTCTACATCCCCACCCATGCTACTATCCATTCCCTGGTATTGGTATCTGTTAACCCTTCTTGTAACCAGTGGTAGTATAGGTAAGGAATGGAGTGGACTGAGGAGTCCCGGAAGTAATATAGCATGGGATGAAGCTATGAATGTAGACTGCGTCATGGAGGAGGGAGGGTGTTCCAGTGGCCGGGGAGCCCCCATAGAAGTCGTGGTGGGGAGGGGGAGATACGGGAAAGGGAGACCTTTAATTCGGCCTAGGGAACGTGGATCAACATTAGTAATTCCAAAGCGGTCTCCTGATGTGGGAAGTCGGTGTAACCAGGAAGGCGGTCCCTCCGGGTTGAAGGTGGTGCTGTTGAACGCCAGATCTGTCAATGGTAAAACAGCTTTCATCCAGGATTTGATCCTGGATAAACGGGCAGATCTGGCGTGCATCACAGAGACCTGGCTGGATGAAGCTGGAGGAGTGAATTTAACCCAGCTTTGTCCACCAGGTTTCTCTGTGCAGCACCAACCGAGATCCGGAGGGCGGGGAGGCGGGGTTGCAGTGGTCTATAGAGATTCCATTCGTCTGACCAGGGGCCCCATCCCGCAGTCAACAAAATTTGAATGCGTCCACCTGAGGGTGGGTGACCGGGACAGTTTAGGGATTCTGTTAGTGTACCGTCCACCTCGCTGCACTACAGACTCCCTGACTGAGCTAGCGGGGGTGGTCTCGGACCTGGCGTTGGAGTCCCAACGGCTACTTGTGCTGGGGGACTTCAACGTCCATGCCGAGGCCATCTTATCGGGAGCGGCTCAGGACTTCATGTCTACCATGGCAACCATGGGGCTGTCCCAACAGGTATCTGGCCCCACCCACAGTGCTGGACATACATTGGACTTGGTTTTCTGTCAGGGATGGGAGGAAGGTGGCGGTGTTGAGGAGTTATCCATCTCTCCGTTGCCATGGACCGACCACCACCTGGTCAGCTTTAGACTCACTGCACCCCCTAACCTCCGCAGAGGTGGAGGACCCATTAAGTTGGTCCGCCCCAGGAGGCTTATGGATCCGGATGGATTCCTGACGGCTCTTGGGGAATTTCCCGCCACCTCGGTTGGTGATCCTGTTGATGCCCTGGTCGCTCTCTGGAATGGGGAGATGACTAGGGCAATAGACACGATCGCTCCAGAACGTCCCCTCTCAAGTAGCCGAGCTAAACCAGCTCCTTGGTTCACTGAGGAGCTGGCAGCGTTGAAGCGAAAGAAGAGGGAACTAGAGAGCGTGTGGCGTTTGAATCCGAGCGAGCCAAATCGAACACGGTTTGTGTCCTTTTTAAGGGCATATGCCGCGGCAATAAAAGCCGCAAAGAAGACTTTCTTTGCGGCCACTATTGCGTCTGCAAAGAACCGTCCGGCTGAACTGTTCCGAGTTGTCAGAGGCCTTTTAAAACCCTCCATTCAGGATGGGTGCCCTGATGACTCGGCAGCTCGCTGTGAAGCCTTTGCTCAGTTCTTTGCAGACAAAGTCGCTTTGATCCGCTCTGGACTGGATACCATATTAACGGCAGTCTCTGAGGATGTAACCCGAGCATCTGCTTGTCCGCTTTTGTTGGATTCATTTCAATTGGTTCAATCCGAGGATGTGGACAAGGTGCTTGGAGGAATGAGAGCTACCACATGCATCCTAGACCCCTGACCATCCTGGCTTCTGAAGGAGGCCAGAGGGGGATTGGCTGAGTGGGTGAAGGTGGTGGTTAATGCCTCCCTTCGGGAAGGCAAAATTCCAGCCAGCTTAAAGCAAGCTGTGATAAAACCGCTGTTGAAAAAACCATCACTGGACCCCACTCAATTCGTCAACTATCGGCCTGTTTCCAATCTCCCCTTCTTGGGCAAAGTCCTGGAACGTGTGGTGGCCTCACAACTCCAGGCATTCTTGGTAGACACGGATTATCTGGACCCGGCACAGTCTGGCTTTAGGCCGGGGCATGGTACCGAGACAGCTTTGGTCGCCTTAGTCGATGATCTGCGCCGGGAGCTCGACAGGGGGAGTGTGTCCCTGTTGGTGCTGCTGGACCTCTCAGCGGCCTTCGATACCGTCGACCACGGTATCCTTCTGGGACGCCTCGCGGGAATGGGTCTTGGAGGAACTGTTTTACAGTGGCTCCGCTCATTCCTCGAGGGTCGGTCTCAGAAGGTGTTACTGGGGGACTCCTGTTCAACCCCACAACCTTTGTCTTGTGGGGTTCCTCAGGGTTCAATATTGTCTCCCATGTTGTTCAACATCTACATGAAGCCGCTGGGTGAGATCATCCGGAGTTTCGGGGTGCGATGTCATTTGTACGCAGATGATGTTCAACTCTGTCACTCCTTTCCACCTGTCACTAAGGAGGCTGTCGAGGTCCTGAACCGGTGCTTGGCTGCTGTGACGGTCTGGATGGGGGCGAACAAATTGAAATTGAATCCAGACAAGACAGAGGTACTCCTGGTCAGTCGCAAGGCCGAAGAGGGCATAGGGTTACAGCTGTGTTGGATGGGGTCGCACTCCCCCTGAAGACGCAGGTTCGCAGCTTGGGTGTGATCCTGGATTCATCGCTGAGCCTGGAACCCCAGGTTTCGGCGGTGACCAGGGGAGCATTTGCACAGTTAAAACTTGTGCGCCAACTGCGCCCGTACCTTGGAAAGCCTGACTTGGCCACGGTAGTCCACGCTCTGGTTACATCCCGTCTACTACTGCAATGCTCTCTACGTGGGGTTGCCTTTGAAGACGGCTCGGAAGCTCCAATTAGTCCAACGGTCGGCAGCCATGATACTAACTGGAGCGGAGCGCAGGGAGCGCACAACTCCTCTGCTGCACCAGCTCCACTGGCTGCCGATTTGCTACCGGGCTCAAGTCAAAGTGCTGGCGTTGGCCTTTAAAGCCCTAAACGGTTCTGGCCCAACCTACCTATCCGAACGTATCTCGGCCTATCAGCCCACCAGGACCCTAAGATCTTCTGGGGAGGCCCTGCTCTCTATCCCGCCTGCTTCACAGGTGCGGCTGGCGGGGACGAGAGACAGGGCCTTTTCTGTGGTGGCCCCTCGGCTCTGGAACGCCCTTCCCATGGAGGTAAGATCAGCCTCCTCGCTGATGGTATTCCGAAAAAGACTAAAAACTTGGATGTTCAAGCAGGCATTTGGTTAATTCGGTGCAATGAATGTGTCGACTACGGATTGGTAATATGGATGATGCAATTGGACCACGATTTTAGTTAGGAAATGTATTGGATTGTGATTTATGTGAAATATTGTGTATTATGTTTTTTATGGTTTTAATTGTATACTGTGTACTGTATATTCTGTTGTAAACCGCGTTGAGTCGCCAGTTAGGCTGAGAAACGGCGGTATACAAGGACAGTAAATAAATAATAAATAAATAAGACAACTCTTAAGAGAACTATTCCTTTGTAAATAAATAAATAAATAAATTATTATTATTATTATTAGAAGCCAGTCAAGGTGGTCCCAGTGGTGATCGGCACACTGGTTATAGTATCTAAAGACCTTGGCCTGCACTTAAACACAATCGGTGCTGACAAAATTACCATCTGCCAGCTGCAAAGTAAATTAAAGATTGAGTTGCAAAGACTCTGGCACAAGCTAGTAAAGGTGGTCCCAGTGGTAACTGGCACCCTGGGTGCAGTGCCTAAAGACCTTGGCCTGCACTTAAACACAATTGGCGCTGACAAAATCACCACCTGTCAGTTGCAGAAGGCCACCCGACTCGGATCTGCACACATAATAATAATAGTAATAATAATAACAATAATAACAATAATAACAATACATCACACAGTCCTAGACGCTTGGGAAGTGTCTGACATGTGATCCAATATAATAATAATAATAATAACAACAATAATAATAATAATAATAATAATAATAATAATAGGAAGTGTCCGACATGTGATCCAATATAACAACAACAACAATGTGTGTGTGTGTGTGTGTGTGTTTGACTGCATTTTATTGAATGTAAGCGCAACCTATTTTTAAATTATTATTATTGTTGCATTGTTGTGAGTTTTTCAAGCTGCCTGACCATGTTCTGGAAGCATTCTCTCCTGACTTTTTGCCCACATCTATGGCAGGCATTCCTAGAGGTTGTGAGATCTCTTGGAAACTAGGCAAGTGAAGTTTATATATATCCCTGTGGAATGATGTCCAGGGTGGGAGAAAGAACTCTTGTCTGTTGGAGGCAAGTGGGAATGTTGCCATTGGCCAGCTTGATTAGCATTGAATAGCCTTGCAGCTTCAAAGCCTACCAAAAATCTAGAATCAGGACAGTAAATATAAAAAAAACACTCAGTAAACAGGGGAATTCTAGACAGGAAACCATCAGAGCCAGCTAATACCTCCCAACAAAGGATTCCCCCAGGCAGTAGGCAGCCAGGCTTTGAAGCTGCAAGGCTATACAATCAAGCTGGCCAAAAGGCAATATTTTGGAGGAAGGGTTGGGCCAAACTACCTCTGCCAAAGGGAACCCTAAGTGGGACAAAAATAACCGGTCAGTCCGGATACTTCTTTAGCCCAAACTTTTTTCCTTTTTGGTCATCCAGGGTGACCCGCGAACACCGGGAGAGCCTCGCTGCCGTGGCCAAGCAGCTGACCAACAAGGCCAAGGATTCCCTGCGGAAGGTGCGGGCCGCGGCCGTCAGCCGGACCAAGAAAGCCAAAGGCACCGTCTCCGAAGACACCGTCCGGCTGATAGAGAAGCAGGTACCGTGGGGTCAGTTTCCTTCTTGCAGTACCATTGCTTCACTGGGAAGGGAGTTCAGTTGTGGAACTCACTGCCCCATGATGCCTTAGCAGTGTGACCCAGCCAAGTAGCCCAAAGTGATAAAAAGAACAAAAACAGACAGACCAATGTGAAATCTTCCTTGGGAGGCTTTCTTATAGCAAAATAATATGGTGGCACTATTTACAAGAACAAGGTTTCCATGACACAAATAAAGTTCAACCGTCATACTGGAGCTTCACACGTGAGGTGTTCTCATACTGAGGCCTACTAACACACTGAGGCCTACCTCACACAGAGGCTTCTCTCACAGACGGAGGTGAACCAACTCTGAAGTCTTCTCATACTGAGGCCTACTAACACACTGAGGCCTACCTCACACAGAGGCTTCTCTTACAGACAGAGGCGAACTAACGCTGAAGCCTTCTCATACTGAGGCCTACTAACACACTGAGGCCTACCTCACACAGAGGCTTCTCTCACAGACAGAGGCAAACTAACACTGAAGCTTTTTCATACTGAGGCCTACTAAAACACTGAGGCCTACCTCACACAGAGGCTTCTCTCACAGACGAAAGGCGAACTAACACTGAAGCCTTCGCATACTGAGGCCTACCTCACACAGAGGCTCATCTCGCAGACAGAAGCGAACTAACGCTGAAGACTTTTCATACTGAGGCCTACTAACACACAGAGGCCTACCTCACACAGAGGCTTCTCTCACAGACAGGCGAACTAACACTGAAGCCCTTTCACACTGAGGCTTATCTCACATAGAGGCTTCTCTCAAAGACAGAGGTGAACTAACACTGAAGCCTTTTCATACTGAGGCCTACTAACACACAGAGGCCTACCTCACACAGAGGCTTCTCTCACAGACAGAGGCGAACTAACACTGAAGCCCTTTCACACTGAGGCTTATCTCACACTGAGGCTTCTCTCAAAGACAGAGGTGAACTAACACTGAAGCCTTTTCATACTGAGGCCTACTAACACACAGGCCTACCTCACACAGAGGCTTCTCTCACAGACAGAGGCGAACTAACACTGAAGCCTTTTCATACTGAGGCTTACCTCACATAGAGGCTTCTCTCACAGACAGAAGCGAACTAACACTGAAGCCCTTTCAAACTGAGGCCTACTAACACACTGAGGCTTCTCTCAAAGACAGAGGTGAACTAACACTGAAGCCTTCACATACTGAGGCCAACCTCACACAGAGGTTTCTCTCACAGACAGAAGTGAACTAACACTGAAGCCTTTTCGTACTGAAGCTTACCTCACATAGAGGCTTCTCTCACAGACAAAGGTGAACTAACACTGAAGCCTTCGCACACTGAAGCCTACTAATACACTGAGGCCTACCTCACACAGAGGCTTCTCTCACAGACAGAGGTGAACTAACCCTGAAGCCTTCACATACTGAGGCCTACTAACACCTTGAGGCCTACCTCAGTGCTTGACTCACATTTTTGTCATTAAAAATACCTAGTTACTGTTGAATCTTTCTGACAGTCCACCTAAGGCGCTGCTCACCTTGTCCTGTGTCTCTTCTTCTTCCCCCAACTTGGCCGCAGGTCCAGCAAATGACAGACGACGCTGTGGCTGAAATGGAGAAGCTGCTGGCCTCCAAGACGAAGGAGCTGCTGGGGTGAGGATCCTCACAGGCCGCATGTCTGGCGCGTCGTCCTTCTGCGTTTCGCTCTCGAAATGGACTGGCTCTGCTGTCGTGGCTTTGGCACCGAACAGGACGCTGGCTTTTTGTCAAGTGCCGCTTGGACAGCGATGCCAGGTAAATACGGGCCGCGTGGGGCAAGGCTGTGGGAGAAATGCCGCCTGGAAGGCACCCCGGTCTGTAAGGACGTCTCCATTCGCTGGCCTGGCTTTTGGGGAAAGGTCGGGGCCGCCGCCTCGCTTGCGAACCTGCTTGGCTTTGTAATAAAGGATTCCCAACTGAATCATTCCTCTCTTTGGGCTTTGTGGCCCTCCAGGTGTGTTGGGTTCTCCGGACTCCTGGGAGTTGTCGTTGGGCTTCTTTGTCATTGTTACGTTGTTGACAAGAGATTCTCCATCGTGGTCCCTGTGAAATACACGCATATGGTATTATATCCTGCACACAAAATACCATATGTGCAAATTTCACAAAGAAACACGATTACAGGTAAGCAACCCTTACTTACCAAGGGCCACCCATCCCACACTACACTGACCACGAGGCCCGTACTACACAAGAAATGGAAAAGCGGGGAAAGCGTCAAAGAAGAATTCAAACAGTCAGCAAATGCAGGGAAAAGGTTCGTCAGGCTAAGGCACAAAATGAGCTCAGGCTTGCCAGAGAGATCAAAAATAATAAAAAAGGGATAATGGCAGGAGGGGGTTGGACTAGATGGCCCTTGGGTTTTCTTCCAATTCTATTTCTATTTATTATTATTATTATTATTATTATTATTATTATTATTATTATTAAGGCTGGGTGGCCATCTGTCGGGGGTGCTTTGATTGTGCTTTTCCTGCATGGTGGAAGGGGGGTGGACTAGATGGCCCATGGGTATTATTGTTGTTGTTATTATTATTATTATTATTATTATTATTATTAAGGGTGGGTGGCCATCTGTTGGGAGTGCTTTGATTATGCTTTTCCTGCATGGCAGAAGGGGGGTGGACTAGATGGCCCATTGGTTTCTTCCAACATTATTATTATTATTGTTGTTGTTGTTGTTGTTATTATGGCTGGGTGACCATCTGTCGAGGGTTCTTTGATTGAGCTTTTCCTGCATGGCAGAAGGGGGGGGGGTGTGGACTAGATGGCCCATGGGTATTATTATTATTATTATTATTATTATTATTATTATTATTATTACTATTATTATTATGGCTGGGTGGCCATCTGTCAGGGGTGCTTTGCTTGTGCTTTTCCTGCATGGTGGAAGGGGTGGACTAAATGACCCATTGGTTTTCTTCCAACTCTATTATTATTACTATTATTATTATGGCTGGGTGGCCATCTGTCGGGGGTGCTTTGCTTGTGCTTTTCCTGCATGGTAGAAGAGGTGTGGACTAGATGGCACAAGGGTTTTCTTCCAACTCTATTATTATTATTACTATTACTATTACTATTATTACTATTATTATTATTATTATTATTATTATTATTATTTAGGCTGGGTGGCCATCTGTTGGGGGTGCTTTGATTGTGCTTTTCCTGCATGGCAGAAGGGGGGTGGACTAGATGGCCCATGGGGTCCCTTCCACCTCTATGATTCTAGGACCATCTTTTGGATGTGGGTTCGAGTATTGTCACCCTTTCTAAATCCCATTTCCAAAGGGAAGCCAGGCCTTGGCAGTGGGGGGAGCCTTCCTCCTCCTCCTCCTCCTCCTGGGATGCTGGGCCTTGATTGGGGCGTCTCTGGCGCCTTCTCGAGTGGGTCTTCTGTCTTTTTAATCACCGGAGGAGCTCATTACGGCCTCCCTCCCTCCCACGCCTGCCCCCCCCTCCAGTCCTCGAGCCCCCGAGCCGGCGGCGGCAGCGGATGAATATTGGATGATTTCCTTCCCTGCGCAGGCAATCAACACTTTTGCATGAAATTTCCCCTCTTTTCGCTCGCTCGAATTTCAATTGACCCCCGGCTCCTGTGGCGGCAGGCGCAATACACATGCAAATGAGACCCAAGCGCACGCTCATCCAGAGAGAGAGGGGCCTCCGGGGCTGGCACCCCCCTATGCAGCCGGGGTGGGACCCCCTCACTCAATGCATTCGATGGTCAGCGTTGAACCCAAATGCCCTCTGACGCACACTGAGCTGCATTATGGGGTCAGTGTCCAACCATGCCATGCCGCCTGAGCTACGTATGGTCAGCATAGAGCAGGCGTGGGCAAAGTCGGGCCTTTCTCCAGGAGGTTTGGACTTCAACGCCCACAATCCCTGTTAGGAAATGTGGGAGTTGCCATCCAAAACACCTGGAGAAAGGCCCAATTGGCTCAGGCCTGTGAGAGAGAGATACATAGATGGTAGATGGATTGCTAATAGATCAATGGATGAATGATAGATGGTACATACACACATACATACGGCACATAGATGATAGAGAGATAAATGGATGATACATAGATGATGATACCTACATAGATACATGGATGATAGATACATACATACATCGATGATAGGTGGATTGATAATAGATCAATAGATCAATAGATGGATGGATGATAGATGGATAGATAAATAAATGGATGATACATACATACAGTACATAGATGGTAGATACATCTCATAGATGATTGACAAATGGATGATACATAGATGATGACACCTACATAGATATATTGATGATAGATAGATGGATGATAGATACATACATGATAGATACATACATACATAGATGATGGATTGATAATAGATCAATAGATGGATGGATGATAGATAGATAATACATAGATGATGACACCTACATAGATATATCGATAATAGATAGATGGGTGATAGATACATGCATACATAGATGGATTGATAATAGATCAATAGATGGATGGATGGATGGATGGATGATAGATAGATAGATAGATGGATGATACATAGATGATGACACCTACATAGATATATTGATGATAGATAGATGGATGATAGATACATACATACATAGATGATAGATGGATTGATAATAGATCAATAGATGGATGGATGGATGGATGGATGGATGGATGATAGATAGATAGAAAGATAGATAGATAGATAGATAGATAGATAGATAGATAGATGATACATCCATACAGTACATAGATGGTAGACAATACAGAGATAAATACATGGATGGATGATATATATGTTGCTTACCTGTAAACATAGTTTCCCAAAACCATATGTACAATTCATAGCTGACCACAACGTGAAAATATACATACATAGATGACGGATTGATAATAGATAAATGATTTATTTATCGTGTCATCAGCAACCATTGTATCACAATTCTAACAGAACAAAACAAACACACAGATTAAAAAGAAAAAAGGAAAAAAAACACACAGATTTTGCAAATTTGGTAGTTGGTTAAATGTCCTTTGAGCAGTATCTGGCCACTTGGAGTGCCTCTGGTGTTGCCGCAAGGAGGTCCTCCCTTGTGCATCATGTGGCAGGGCTCAGGGTGCATTGCAGCAGGTGGTCAGTGGTTGGCTCTTCTCCACACTCGCATGCCGAGGATTCCACCCTGTAGCCCCATTTCTCCCTTATGACATTCCGCAAGAGACTAAAGACGTGGTTGTTTGAGAAGGCGTTTGACTAAGTGCTACAACAATTGGCAATGATGATTGGAACGGAATATGGATAACCAGATTGGTTTGTGATTCTACGATGAGACGTCGTGAATGATTTAGTGTAATTGTATTATTAATAGTGATGTTGTTATTGTTATTTGTGATATTGCCTTTATTGTAAATTGTTTTTTATATGTTGTACACCGCCGTGAGTCGCCCTAGGGCTGAGAACGGCGGTCTACAAATGCAGTAAATAAATAAATAGGTGATAGATGGATCGATAATAGATCAGTAGGATGAATGTACAGTACAAAGATGATAGATAGATGATCAATAGATAAATGGATGATACATAGCTGATATGTATGAAATGGATTGATGACAGATACATATAGTAGCTATGTGGAGCCCTCTCAGCCCAGTCATAGCTAACTTCTACATGGAACACTTTGAAAAACAAGCCCTGGAGACAGCAACCAAAAAGCCCACGATATGGTTCAGATATGTGGATGACACCTTCACCATTTGGAGCCATGGAGAAGAAGAACTCAACAGGTTCCTGGACCATCTGAACAGCATCCACCCAAACATATGGTTCAGATATGTGGATGACACCTTCACCATTTGGAGCCATGGAGAAGAAGAACTCAACAGGTTCCTGGACCATCTGAACAGCATCCACCCAAACATATGGTTCAGATATGTGGATGACACCTTCACCATTTGGAGCCATGGAGAAGAAGAACTCAACAGGTTCCTGGACCATCTCAACAGCATCCACCCAAACATATGGTTCAGAGATGTGGATGACACCTTCACCATTTGGAGCCATGGAGAAGAAGAACTCAACAGGTTCCTGGACCATCTCAACAGCATCCACCCAAACATATGGTTCAGATATGTGGATGACACCTTCACCATTTGGAGCCATGGAGAAGAAGAACTCAACAGGTTCCTGGACCATCTCAACAGCATCCACCCAAACATATGGTTCAGAGATGTGGATGACACCTTCACTATTTGGAGCCATGGAGGAAAAGAACTCAACAGGTTCCTGGACCATCTCAACAGCATCCACCCAAACATATGGTTCAGAGATGTGGATGACACCTTCACTATTTGGAGCCATGGAGGAAAAGAACTCAACAGGTTCCTGGACCATCTCAACAGCATCCACCCAAACATATGGTTCAGATGTGGATGACACCTTCACCATTTGGAGCCATGGAGAAGAAGAACTCAACAGGTTCCTGGACCATCTCAACAGCATCCACCCAAACATATGGTTCAGAGATGTGGATGACACCTTCACTATTTGGAGCCATGGAGGAAAAGAACTCAACAGGTTCCTGGACCATCTCAACAGCATCCACCCAAACATATGGTTCAGAGATGTGGATGACACCTTCACTATTTGGAGCCATGGAGAAGAAGAACTCAACAGGTTCCTGGACCATCTCAACAGCATCCACCCAAACATATGGTTCAGAGATGTGGATGACACCTTCACTATTTGGAGCCATGGAGGAAAAGAACTCAACAGGTTCCTGGACCATCTCAACAGCATCCACCCAAACATATGGTTCAGATATGTGGATGACACCTTCACCATTTGGAGCCATGGAGAAGAAGAACTCAACAGGTTCCTGGACCATCTCAACAGCATCCACCCAAACATATGGTTCAGATATGTGGATGACACCTTCAC